AGGCAAAAAGCCACTAGAATTTGAGGATGCAAAGTTATTATTTTTTCAAGACCTCACCAGAAGCACATTCCTTTGGCCCAGTAACGTCCACCCTACGCAAAGCAAACATACCATACAGATGGGGTAACTCCCGCTCATTACTAGTCCATCACGCTGGGACCACTCACAACCTTACCTCCCCGGTGGGAGCCCCAACCTTCCTGTCTGCATTGGGACTGCAACCGAGTCAACCTCCTAATACAGAAGACAACCAAAATGTAACCCGGGACCCAGCAGCCAGCACCTCCGCCGGACAAATGGTGAACGGCCTGCAGCGCCTGCACACCTGACCCTAATCTGGAACGAGCCAGCCTTGCCTCTGAGCAACCATCTGGCTATCTAAACCACACTGACCAACTACTCGCTTGGACCTATATCCAAACCAATTAAGAGTCTATAATGTTACCATGCTTATCTCACGTTATATTTTTATTTACTTATTTATTTTTTTTTTTTAATTCTTCCTACTCTACCTTTCACTCTTATTTTCTAGTACGCTCATGCATACAACACACCCCAACCCCTGGGAAAGTTACCACAACCCCCAAACATAACAGGGTCTACACACCTCTCTCACTCAGCAAGCCACTGGCCTTTAAGATCCAGGCAATCTGGCGACAAGAGGCGCCTTAAGTACCCCCCACCCCCGCATCACCCCCTAGGTCAGGGGCAACACTAAGCGTGCCAGACATCCTCTAGGACATCAAACGGTCCAACATCCACACAAACATGAACATCGCATAGTACCCAGAAAGTATGCACACCCTGGCACTATCTACGAACATAGATACCAACCTGAGACCACAATCATAGGCTCCTATGCAACACTCAGGGCCGGACTGGCCCACCGGGTACCGGGAAGTTTCCCAGTGGACCGTCGGCACCTGGGGCCGGGCAGACACCTGGGTCTTCTGGAGGCCGCTGGGGGAGGTCTTCTGGCGGCCGCTGGGGGAGGTCTTCTGGGGCCGCTGGGGGAGGTTTTCTGGTGGCCGATGGGGGAGGTTTTCTGGTGGCCGCTGGTGGAGGTCTCCTGGCGGCCGCTGGGGGAGGTCTTCTGGCAGCTGCTGGGGGAGGTCTTCTGGCAGCCGCTGGGGGAGGTCTTCTGGCTGGGGGAGGTCTGGCTGGGGGAGGTCTTTTGGCTGGGGGAGGTCTTCTGGCGGCCGCTGGGGGAGCTGCGCTGGCTCTGCTCTCCCGCCCTCGCGCGCTGCTGAATGACGTCATATTCCGGCCCCGGTCTCATTAAGCTGCGCGCTGGGGAGCAGAGCCAGCGCAGCTCCCCCAGCAGCCACCAGGAGACCTCCCCCAGCGGCCGCCAGAAGACCTCCCCCAGCGGCCTCGAGAAGACCTCCCCCTGGCAGGTATTAGTAATGTGTGTCAGTGTGAGTTTGTCTGTCTGTTATGGATGTGTGTGTCTGTCTGTCTGTGTCATGGTGTCTGTCTGTATGGTGTGTGTGTGTCTGTCTGTCTGTGTCATGGTGTCTGTCTGTATGGTGTGTGTCTGTCTGTCTGTATGGTGTGTTTCTGTCTGTATGGTGTGTGTGTGTGTGTCTGTATGGTGTGTGTGTGTGTCTGTCTGTCTGTCATGGCAAGACATAGCCTTACATATTACACGTGACAATATATGGCGCAGTGACTTATGGGGCTGGCACAAATTTTTTTTCCAGGGCTGCTTTGTATCCCCAGTCCGGCCCTGGCAACACTGCAGCCTCATGCAACATAAAGGAGCATACTTCACACCACACGCCTGTAGTACCCCGGGAGGGCAACACACACCAACCACTAGCCTGCCGAAAACTAGCTAACCCCGGGCTTGTCCCCAAACACGGTTAAAATTAAAAAGTGCTTGACAAATGCATTTCACTGTATATCCTGAAACTAACCTCAAATGCTATGGGAACACTTGTTATCGCTGAATACTTGCAAACTAACGATCTCATGAAATGCTGAATGTAACTTCATGTACAACTGAGCACAGAAAAATAAAGAATTACAAAAAAAAGATAATAACAAATATGATGCCTTATTAAACCCTTATCCAGGTCTTCCTCTACATCCAATATCCAAGATTTCATAGCTCTGGACATGGCCGAAACGTCTCCAGCTGGATGACAGCCTGTGCCGACTGCAAGAAATGACTTAAATAAGATGGCATCAATTCTCTTATCCATAGGATGCCTGGGAAAAGCATTGCAATCTATAGGTAGTGTAGAATATTTTGCCACCTTAATAACTGGAGCATAAGCCTTAGGGTTGGAGATCCAGAGTTTAGGATCCCCTTCATTAACGAGGTACAGTTTCAAAAGATGTGATTGCAGAGAAAATCTTTTTTCTGGAGTGACTCATTCTGTCTTTATTAGATCCTTAATGGATCTATGCACTGGAAAGTTTGCCTCAAATCTCCAAAATATTTGTCTGAAACAGATGTTTCCTGAATCTCTTATGGTATCTCCAAGGTTTTCCTGAAATTAGGTGTTCCACTGCCCAAAGGACATGGGCTATTTGAAAATTCTTCACTGGAAGAGATCTGTTCAAATTCTATAGACTCAGCTACCTTGTCTGCCATCCTCAGATGATTCGGAATCAATATGAAAGGATTCATGTCAAGGCCTTTTTCCTCTGGTTGACTCAGCAATACCTTCCACCACTGCTTTCATTATCCATGAGGCTATATCTTGGGCTGAGGTTGAAGCCTGGGGTCTCTCACATTGTTCAGATTCACCAACAAGTTGGGCCAAGAACTTCCTGCAAAGCATGCAATTTTCCAAAGGCCTGGCTCCACATCCTGGACAGGCTGACGGCTTTTCCCTTATCGGTGATGGAGAGCTAGGTCCTAACTGGTCTCAAGGGCTGTAGAGACAGAAGTCATAAAAGACTGTACCCTTGAATGTACTTTTCAAAAATATTCTAAATATAATGTAATATAAAAAGGATATATTGCTCACCTAAGGCCTATAGTGGATGACTAAGCGGACATAGGAGAGTGGTCTATAATAGCCAATGGGCTAAAATATAAAAATGTCATTTACCTAAATACTTACCACTAAAAGGAAAATGGAAATTTCTTCAGGCTTAGAAATATAAATCTTACCTGCAGAGAGCTGAAAAAACAAATTGAGAGCAGAAAAACACATGAAAATCCGTTATTCCTATGCAGAATAAGTTTGAAAAACTTTTTGAGTTCTCAGTTTGAATTTCGTGCCTCCGTGCCTATAAATCTTTGCCCATGTGTTGAATGGCCATGAATGAAACTGACCTTCCCAGGGTGAAAACTGCACAAATAGGTGAGCAAAAAAAGAAAGTTTTACAGACAAAATTTATATACAGTGAGGGGGGAAAAGTATTTGATCCCCTGCCGATTTTGAATGTTTGCCCATTCACAAAGAAATGATCAGTTTCTAAATGTTTTATTTGTTTTTGTCAATGTTTCTTTATTGTGGCAGTTGAATCAGGGATTACAGAAACAAGAAAAGGAGTACTATTAGTTCAACACAAATCAAACACTGTGCGGGTAATTCCTAGGTATGACAGCCTCTTTCTTTTTTTGTTGTTGATAACAATACAGAAAGACACACGATAGATAAACATGTCTAAATTAACAGGATATGCAACCATTTTGTCTAAGAACAGAGACAAGGCATGGTGAGTGTTGTGTATGGAAAATTATGCTGTATTAAAGATGATCAATGGCTCCGAGGAATAAAAACATCAGTGTAGCTAATAGCTGGCAGGTATGTGTACAATAAATAGCTGTATACAATTAGCACAGAATGGGCGAATTTGATCATATAATAACTATTAACTGTGTTATGCTGGTGGGCATACTGCTGTAAGCTAGTGTAACTAACAGATCAGGATGTTGGCAAATAAAAATTAAACAAAACTGAAATTATAATGATATTGCAGTGGTGTTTGTGACGGTTCAATCCGTTACTCCGTCAAGCATCCCTTCTTCCCATAAAATAAAATCACCAAGTAATCCACAGAGTAGTAAATCGCTGGTATGGCCGAATAATCCACACATGAGCCAAAGCTTAATGCTGGAACAAGACTTTACTGGAAGTAACAACAACAGGTATTCAAGCTACAGTTTCTTTTATGCCCTGCTCCCATGCAGGGGAGGGACACACACGTTATCTACAGTAGCCAATAAAACAGGTTACAGCCCACACAAAATCCTCCCCTCTGCCTGTGATTCAATTATCTTATACAATAGAAGGTCAATTATCACAGGTAGGAAAAATACAGTTTTTACAGCATAATCATAACTTCTAAAATATACATCACATTCACATAAAATCAATCAATTCAGGGAAACAACATATCAAAAAATGGCATGAATCAGACCAGGGGTTAAGAAGTTAGTAAAGTATCTTTTGGGGCCTGGCTGGCAGCATGGCTATCTGGCCCAAACCGGTTTTACAGAGTCCTCTATCCTGGAGACAATGGGGAACATAATCCAATTATATCCAGGGATAGAGGCAGACTCCATTGAGCACATGTTCCCAGTAAAACACAAAAGGATACAAAAATACATAACCCCTATCATACTGAATTGAACGGGCCAAATCTCCCAGGGTCCATAGTCACAGGGCAAGAGGCGGGCAAGCAGTCCTCTCTAGGCACAAGTGGCGAAGGGCACTTCGTCACAGTAATAAATCCATGGATAAAGTAGCAGGGAGGGAAAGTACCGAATGAATGGAGGGGGATTCTTCACAGTGTTCCTATAAAACAGATGATTATGGGGTTGGCATGCAACCCATAGAAACTGGGGTAATAATATGGTGTCAGATATCGCGAGAGGAACCTGGCGGAGCTTCTATCTAGAGCTCCCTGGGTCCTCTCCTGCCTCCCTCCATGCTGCTGTGGGCTGGTGAGGTAGATCTTTGGTCTCCCCGCCGGCCCATGGAGGCTTAGAGCAGAGCGGGCACTCAGATAGCTCCGGCTCTGCGTGTGTGTGTGTGTGTGTGTGTGTGTGTGTGTATGTATGTGTGTGTGTGTGTGTGTGTGTATATATATATATATATATTTAATATATATATGCGTACACACACACACACTCACAGACACACACACACACACATACACTCACAGACACACTCACACAGACACACACTCACACAGACACACACATACACTCACAGACACTCACTCACACACTCACAGACACACACACACACAGACACACACATTCATAGACACACACTCACATACAGACACACACTCACACAGACACACACTCACACACAGACAGACACACACACAGACACACACATACACTCACAGACACACACACACACACACAAGAACAAATTATTATATTTAAATTAAAAAGAAATGTCCACCCAGCCTCCTACCTGGAGTGCTGGCGTGGACTTTTCCCTGGGGTCCAGTGGGGCGGGCGCCTCTCTGCATCTCAGTCACGGCGAGGGAGCTGTCTGCTCTCTGCTCCCTCTCGCCGCGTGGGCTGTTTGCTGATGCCGGGAGCCGGAATATGACGTCATATTCCGGCTCCCAGCTACAGCAGACAGCCCACGCGGCGAGAGGGAGCAGACATCAGCCAGCTCCCTCGCCGCGACTGAGATGACAGGGGCAAGAGGTGAGACAGGGGGCGCTGAGTGCCTGCAGGAACAGCGTTCCTGCTCAAAAAAAAGTGAAGGAACGCTGTTCCTGTAGGACTAAACCCATAGGCGTGCCACAGGGATTAGAGTGTGCCCAGGCACACCCGGCACACCCCATGCGCACGCCTATGACATACACCTTCCTTCACATAACTACTACCATCAGTATAATACTGTATGTCTGGATTCTGGATGGGAAAAGCATGAAGATCAGGCCTGCTTGAAAACACTTCATCCATTATCTCCAAACAATCATGTTGACTTTCAGTAGTCTGGGGCAGAAGGGTAGTTGGATTCAAATTGTTGACAGTTTCGAGGTGTACTCTTGGATTTTCACACAACATAGCCTGATATTTGGTCATTCGACTGTTGCTAAACCAATGATTTCCCTTATAATCCAAGAGGGTCTGTACTGCATGAGGTACTCTCACATAGAGTTCCTGACCCAAGGTGAGCTTGTCAGCTTCTGCTACCAGTAAAGCAACAGCAGCCACTGTTCGCAGACAAGGTGGAAGACCACTGGCCACTGCATCCAACTGTTTGGACATGTAAGCTACAGGTCTTTGCCATGATCCCAAGTATTGAGTTAATACTCCCACAGCCATTCTTCTTTGCTCATGTACGTACAGATAGAAAGGACGTGTATGATCTGATAGACCTAGGGCTGGTGCACTCATTAATGCTTTCTTAACATCTTCGAATGCCTTCTGTTGTTCAGAGGCCCACAAAAAGGGATCATGTTCTGTTCCTTTCACAGCTTCGTATAGAGGTTTCGCCAATATTGCATAATTAGGAATCCATATCCTGCAGAATCCTGCCACTCCTAAGAATTCTCGCACTTGTCTTCTATTCTTCGGTATAGATATCCGACACACTGCTCCTTTTCTTTCAGGTCCCATCATTCTTTGACCTTCGGATATATGGAATCCTAAATATTTAACACTTGGCTGGCACAATTGTGCTTTCTTCCTCGATACTTTGTATCCTGCTCTCCATAGAATATGAAGCAAATCATAAGTGGCTTGTTGGCATATCTCTTTAGTAACAGCTGCTATCAATAGATCATCCACATATTGAAGTAGTACACATTCTCCTGGGATGGACTTGAAATCTTGCAGATCCTGGCTTAATGCAGATCCAAATAGGGTAGGTGAATTATTGAACACTTGAGGTAGTCTGGTCCAGGTCATCTGACGCTTTGAACCTGTAACAGCATCTTCCCATTAGAAAGCAAAGATATGTTGACTCAGCAATTCGAAGACAAAAGAAAGCATCCTTAAGATCTAACACTGTGAAGAAGGTTGCCCCACCTGGTATCGAGGCAAGCAGATTGTAGGGATTGGGTACAACTGGGTGTATATTAATTATTGCATCATTAACTGCTCTCAAATCCTGTACAGGACGATATTCGTCCGATCCTGGTTTTTGAACAGGTAATAATGGAGTGTTCCAGGAGGAAGTACAGAATTTTAGGATGCCATACCTTACAAACTTATCCAAATAGGTTTGTATGTTTTCCTTAGCCTTTTGGGGTATGTGATATTGACGTAGGCTCACAGGATAGGCCCCAAGCTTTAGTTCAATATGTATGGGTGGGATATTACGAGCAAGTCCTTGTGGATTATTCTCTGCCCATACTCCTGGAATGTCAAATAAGGATTCATCACTCTTAGGGTTAACACTTGTCACTATGGAATAGAAGCGCCATTCTTCTTCCCTTGGCACCAATATCGCCATTATGCCTGGTAATCCCTTAAACTTCAGAGATGTTGATCCATTAGGTAAAAAGGTTATCTGGGCTTGAAGCTTTGATAATAGATCTCGTCCTAAAAGTTGAATCGGACGCTCTGGCATATATAGGAACTGATGCTTCACCACATGGCCTCCCAGAATACAAGTGCGACTCTTAAGAACCGGTCTAGCTGCACTTCTCCCAGTAGCTCCTATCACAGTTATAGTCTTCCCCGAAGGCGGAGCCACCATCTTAGTCACCACAGAATGTTCAGCACCTGTGTCGATCATGAAAGAACTTCTCTTTCACCCTATTGCTACATCGACCATAGGCACCGCTTGACCAAGGGGAATGGAGCCCGGTCGGTATCAATAGTCTTCCATGATAGTGTCAGCCAGACCCACAAAATCTCTATCCTCTCTTTCTCTAGGTCTCTGCGTGGGTGGATAGTATCTGTCTCCTTGAACACTTCCTCTGCTATTCCCACCATTCCCTCTAAAACTTCCTCTTCCTCTGTAACTACCACTATAACCTCCTCGTACCCTTCTCTCTCCTTGTCTATCAGCTTCATACTGCTCTCTCTGTGGACACTCACTCTTCCAATGTCCCTCCTTTCTATAATACGCACATTGATTCCTACTTAAAGGTCCCTTGCTCAGCCTATTCTCGTCTCCTCTATTCACTTCCCTTCCCTGTCTTTCTACACTTGAGATAGCTACCGCTAGCATATCTGCCTTTTTCCTCATCTTACGTTCTTCCTCCCGCTTTACCTCCGTCTCCCTATTCATATATACTTTATTTGCAATCTCCATTAGCTGTAATATGGACATCCCAACAAATCCCTCTAATTTCTGTAATTTCCTTTTAATATCACCTTGGGCCTGGCTGACAAATGCTGAATTAATCATCCTAGAATTCTCAGGAGCCTCTGGATTAAAAGGAGTATACAACCTATATGACTTCAATAATCTCTCGTAAAAGGTACTAGGTGACTCATCAACCTTTTGCAACACCTCAGCCGTCTTTGACATATTAATTGCCTTCTTCCCTCCTGCCTTCATGTCAGCAATTATGGCTTCCCGATAAGCCCTTAGTTGGGGCATGTCAGCACCATTCACGTTCCAATTTGGATCGACAACTGGATTGCCCTGATTTTGAGTACGGGCCGTTTCCTCAAGCGCTTTAATAGCCGCTTGATTAATCCGGGTCCTTTCCTCACAATTAAATAAAGTTAATAATAATTGCTGGCAATCGGCCCAGGTGGGATTATGTGTTTGGATAATAGAAGTAACCAAATCTGTCATAACTTGAGGTTTGTCAGTATATGAAGAGTTATGAGTCTTCCAGTTAAATAAATCAGTCGTAGTGAAGGGGACATATACAAACACTGCATCTGCCCGTTGTATTTGGCCATTCTCATCCACGTGTGTTGGGCCTGGTGTAAGTCAGAGGGGCATTTGGTAATGTTGGGGTTGGAGGGCACCAGTCATCTGTCGGGTTAATATGGGACTACGATATGATGATTTCATAATGAGTTCCGGTCTAGGGGTAGTAAGGCAAGGGGAGTGAGGCGGATTAACTTTACTGGGCAGAAGTTCGGTCAACAGGATATTACGGGCCGGGCTGGGAGAAGCCTGACCAGGAACCAGAAGTGACGTCAGTTCCGGATATATGGAACTAGTAGAGGCCTGTACCGGAAGGGGAGGTTTCAGAGCTAGTGGGCTGGGCTCTGAACTAGATGCATGAGTGGGCAGGGACAATGGGAAAGGGGGAGTAGCAGCACCAGTAGCACCACCTCTAACCTTAGAGGAAGTGTAAGGGGTGGGGAGGGAAGGTCAGTTTCAGAGGGGGAATCTAAAATGGCCGGAGTTGCGGCCCTGATGGAGAGGCGAGTCCTGGCCACCATGAGGCGACATTGCTCCTCGTGGCATACCTTAACGCATTTAGGCAATTCTTCTACAATCTGTTTCCAACAATCAATATACAGAAACTGATCATAAAATTCAGGCCTACTAGATACAGCCGCGTGCACACGTTGTACTGTAACCGCATGTGGTTCCCTTATTTACCACTATAATGTCTTAAAGCATAGAATTTAGTAGGGCTAACCATACAGATATCTTAGCCATAATTTTATATAGTGTACGAGATCCTCTATTTAACATATATAAATAATTGAGAATACAATATAAAATAAGGATTGTCTTGGAAGCAATCGTTTTGTCTTTTGGATATTTATTATATAAAAATATAAAATCCATTATAGCAGAGTTTATAAGATTAAATTACATGCTTGCAAATATCATTAATAGGTTAACATACCCTTCTGAACATGTCATCATGTCAGCCTCTCTGTCATTTTAAGTGGAGCAGCGTCTGTCTCCAAGTCTCTCCTCTGTGTCTTAACCACTTTTTCTGAGTTTTCTGAGTAGGCAACAATCTGTGTCTTGTACTGTGAGGTGCTTTGATAGTCAAACAGGTTTTGTCAGTACCATGTTCCATCTTGAGAAATAGCTGGGTGCTGATAGTTATCAGCCTTTATTTCTTTTTCCGGTCATCTTATAATAATAAGCAATGTCCAGAATTAGCATAGCACTTCTTTTCAGCATAAGAAGGCTGTTTGCGGTAGTCAATCAATGATAAACTATATGCCAAAGTATTTTCTTGCATCACCTTCATGGGTGCATCCAAAGTCTTTCACAAGCATCTGTCCCATCTTTTTCTGTTTTCAGCATGCTTTGCCATCATCGTTGAGTCCATTTTTAGGATTTGTAATAGTCCAATCACATCTTTCTCATGTATAATCGTTTTTTTTGGAATGATCTCAATAGGTTCCTTGTGAAATACCAGTGTGGGTCACATTAGCAATCATTTCACTGTGAGCTGTGTCTCTCCTTTCAAGATGGTTCTTGGAGGTAGTCCTCACGATCATAGAACTTGTATAGTGTGCAGTCCGATTCAGTTCAGGTGCTTCCTGCTTGTTAACATAATTCCAATGCAGTTTTAAAACGACAGCTAGGGTTGATGTTATGATAATGCTGCAGATTGTAAGAAGGAGACACCATAACCAATTTTCTAGCATCCTTTTGCTTCCATCTTTGCATTTCTTTCTTACTGTATAAGATAATTCAGGTTCAGTCTGTTTTCTCCAGAGTCTTTCTTATAATGATGTTGATGATTCATTTTTCGTACATTCCATATTAACTGTGAATGTATCACGTCTGTCTGTTCATCCTTCTCCTTCACATTTGCAGGTTCAGATGTCAGATCATGATTCATTCTGTTACATGGCTATGATTCTGGTGGCTTTTCTGTCGTCCTCTGTTTTATCTTGCCAACTTTAACAGCATCCATTGTGTCAGTCAGTGGTTCTGTGAATGTCCTGTTAATATTTAGCAGGTTGTAAAATATCAAAACTTACTGTTCTCTGTTGGCTCTGATTGTTCTCTGTAGTAAAAGTATCTGAGTCACCCTCTCCAGGACAAGCTGGCCAACAGAAGGAAATAGGTGGTGGTGCAAGGCGAGGTGGGCTGGAAAAAAATTCCCTACATTTCTCTAATAGAACCAATGGTTCTAAGCTCTCCCTGGTGCAGAAATATAATTGTCAGTGAAAAAACATGTAACATTTCATATGGTGTCTCACCATTTGTATCATCAGGTATGTTGCGAATGCTTATCTGTACCATAGGAATAAATAGATACCACTGTGTGGGGCAAGCAACTAGTAACTTGGTTAATAATCATTTAACCTCAGCATTCTCCCAGACTACAACCTCACTTCTTTGGGGGTGGTTGGGGCACTGAAATCCCAAAGTAACCCAAATGTGGTTGCCCAGTTTTAGGTTTCCTTTGCAGTAAGTGCAGGACCACCATCCAAATGGATGGTCCTGGGATTATCAAATGCATACTAAGGAAGTGAGACTAGAAAACGTGGTATCAGAGGTTGCACTTCGCACAGGATATATCCAAGTAAACCTGGTACATGCATCAACACATACAAAAACATATTTATAACCATGAGATGTTGGCAAACTTCCAATATATAGTAATTCAAAAAGTATGTTAGATATTAATATTTCAATAAACAGTACATCAGTAATGTGGCAATAAGCAAATGCTTATGATTACTAAACACATGAATTACAGTATTTCCCATATTGTGACCACCAATATTCCTTTTCAGGAGTCAGAAGTACATTATCTCTCTCTTTAAGAGCTTGTCCTAGCCATTAAAAAGCTTTTAGGGCAAGTCTATCTTTCCTCTATTGGAAGAACAACCAACATATTACCTTCAATGGTTATTATGTAATTAACCCCTCTAAACGATAGGAGTATTTATGCAGATACCAGGTGGATAAGGTCTGGATATCCTTGCAAGCATAAACTCTGCATCATGACTGAGAGATAGGGTATGCGATGTGATCCAGTGACCACAGAAAAGCGTTGGTAGACACATTGCATCAAAGTGCCTGTTAACGACATGAGGAGAGGGACCATGCTTTGTTATAAGCATGTCCATACACGTATTACAATGCCAGGCTTTCAATTTGTTACCACAAAGCAAAATGCAGTTGTGGATATAAACTCACGATGTATCGTAAGAAAAACTGTTTGAACACCAGACTGAGATTCGAGATCAGTGAACAGTGGACCAAAATAGATAAATTAAATCCTATCAATTAATATACTTTCAATATATTTTCTTTCAATTACTTTATCCTCTGTATTAACTATGAAATATTAAAGTTAAAACAATAACATTTAAAAACCAACTTTTAGTGTGCATAGGAATTACAAGGCCGTTCATAATGTGAGATAAAGAACAGCTTTTTAAAATCCGAATAGTCTGTGAACACAAAATGACCTTGCGCTGAAAACTCACTTGCAGGGGAAAAACAAAACCTCTTCTTTTTTCTTTTTCTTTAGTAAGTTAATTAATTAATTAAACGTAGTTAGAACCTCCCTCAAAGTCCCGATGACTTTGCAAGAAACATGTCGTCCTTAAATACTGGGTAAGTCTATTAAACAGTGACATAACATTGTTACCCTGTGTATTATTTTGTCACAGCTATAATGTGCAGTATTACAAACTATTTTATAAGTGTTGTGCAAACTGTTCATTAAAAGCCAGTGGTATAGTGAGCTATAGAACATTTATTTATTCTTTAAAGCTCTGACCTCAATCGGCAAAGCAATATTGTAATGGTGTCCATTGCAATCAGCTGTCTTACTTGCTGCTCTCAAAAATTCTGACTATGTTCAGAGATTTCTTGGGCAATAATAAATCCCCAAAAACAACAACTTTGCATTTATGCTAAACCCGCCTGTTGTAAACGTATTCTGTATATTTCTTGTCATAAGTACTTGTACTTAAATCTGTTTAACAAAGCTGTTTATATTGTGGTGTAAAACAAATATATATATTTTTTATTTTTATTATTTATTTATTTTAACATTGCTTAATTTTTAAAGATACCTGCATATTTAATTAAATATCCTTTATATGGCATAAAATATCTGCAAATTAAGATTATATACAAAAATGCATGTTCTGGGTGTTCCATGATTGCTTTTCTATCATTTAGTATCTTTTGGTCACATTTAAAGCTGTAAATGTATTTAACATTTTATTTAAATAAGCCTTTAATAATTTCAGTTTAAACGTTATCAGATATCCTGTAAAGTTACCATTTTATTTTGCCCTAATTTATCTTACATATATATTATTTTTCATTATTTTATAAATATTTAATTTTTTGCAGAGCATTTAGAGAAGCAAACGATGTATAATCAGAACAAAAAAGTAAATCTATACTGTATAAAATACTAGTATAGATTAAAGGGGTAGCACAAAAAATATATACAACCTGTAGATAATACAAGAAACTTCCTTCACAAGATCTAAAATATAAGAAAAATCACACAATAGTGAAGCATGTACAGTCAATGTATAATACACTCCCGGAGGTAGAGAACTTACAGGACCAAACTGTAGATCTGAACTTGTCTCCCTTCCATAGGGTATGTGGATAAAAGGTTCTTCTCTCGGGAAGCTTGTATATACGGACCAAAGGTGCAAATTCAAGACGCTCAATCCTCAGAAGAAAAAGAGGTATATAGAGCAGTATTGTAGATAAAAATTAATTTATTAATACAAAATGCACTTACATCAAATGAAGTTCATAGCAGCATGTCACCACTAACAAGTGGTACCCAGGAGAAGGAGTCTCTCTGTAGCAGAATGTAAACATATATATATAAAAAAATACACTGAAAAAACACACATAAAAAAAAAAAAAAAGGGGGAAGTAAATATATATATGTAAAAAAGTATATATCCAACGCGTTTCGTCTTTTGAAAGACTTCTTCAGGGATAGAGAATTAAAAATTCTATTTTCTTTATATAGCCTTCACCACTTGAAATTGCCGCGGAAAATTCATTCACTTCCGGGTTCGGACTTCTCGGTTTTTAATTGGACATCCATCGTGATCACTTCCGGTGGATGTAACAAGATGTTTTTATTTCCGCGTTCCAGGCTGGAACGCATGGCGTCCATAACGTGCGGCTAGATGTATTCATTTCCGCGTTCCAAGCTGGAACGCATGGCATTCATAACGTGCGGCTCTATGCCATGACACTTCCGCGTTCCACCGTGGAACGCACGGACAAACCCAGGCGCACAAGCTGCATTTGGGGCACCGAACGTCCCAGAGTGGGACACAGGGAGAAAATACCAATGACCATCTATTTACATAATATACAAAACAAAGGAATATAAAAACAATAATATGTCTGTCAATATATGGATAACATCCAAGTACTATATGAAACACAAACTAAAAAATACATAATATAAACATGTATATATATATATAGAAGAATGGAGTATATATATACCCAAATCCATATCTATATATACATCCATATCTAAAAACCATACCTATAAAAATATATATAAATAAGGAAAAAAACAAACATAAAAAAATCAAACATGTAACATAAATAATTACAAAAGTCCCGCCAGATCAATATCTTGATTAAGACCTCTCTTAAGGGTATTAAGTGTGTAAATCCAAAAGGCCTCTTTCTTGGCTAGATCATTAGTTCTATTTCCCCCTCTCCAATGGGGAGTTACTTGATCTATACCAATAGCAATAAAGGTAGACCAATCAAATAGATGACAAGAATTACAATGATTTGGGACACTATGTTTTGATTGGTCTACCTTTATTGCTATTGGTATAGATCAAGTAGCTCCCCATTGGAGAGGGGGAAATAGAACTAATGATCTAGCCAAGAAAGAGGCCTGGACGCCATGCGTTCCAGCCTGGAACGCGGAAATAAAAACATCTTGTTACATCCACTGGAAGTAATCACGATGGATGTCCAATTAAAAACCGAGAAGTCCGAACCCGTAAGTGAATGAATTTTCCGCGGCAATTTCAAGTGGTGAAGGCTATATAAAGAAAATAGAATTTTTAATTCTCTATCCCTGAAGAAGTCTTTCAAAAGACGAAACGCGTTGGATATATACTTTTTTACATATATATATTTACTTCCCCCTTTTTTTTTTTTTTTATGTGTGTTTTTTCAGTGTATTTTTTTATATATATATGTTTACATTCTGCTACAGAGAGACTCCTTCTCCTGGGTACCACTTGTTAGTGGTGACATGCTGCTATGAACTTCATTTGATGTAAGTGCATTTTGTATTAATAAATTAATTTTTATCTACAATACTGCTCTATATACCTCTTTTTCTTCTGAGGATTGAGCGTCTTGAATTTGCACCTTTGGTCCGTATATACAAGCTTCCCGAGAGAAGAACCTTTTATCCACATACCCTATGGAAGGGAGACAAGTTCAGATCTACAG